GTAGATGATAACCTGCAGACTAAGGAATGAGGCAACGTATTCTTGCAACATGGTTAACAACAAATGTACTCTTTTGCCATAATCGCTGCATTAATGTGCATCAGCTACTTTTATTTTGATCGTAAATTGTCGTATACCGATTATAAAGCATCGCATTATGACACTCCTTTTCCTTCCTCCTTATCGCTTTAATTACCGGGCGAAGGAGTTGCTGGAAAGCTGTTTTGCCTAGTCCCTACCAACACCGCTCAATAACATATATTTTTAAGTTCCAATACTAAGTCTGGAATTTCTCATCTTCCAACTCAAGAAAATTAGATTGCATCTGCACTTGTGAATAAGTTCTCACGAATTTCAGCAAAACCTCTCAAGCCTTATGTTGTTTGAACAAAAGAATGGAACTTACTCATGTCGCATATATTTTGCAAGGAAATTTAGAACAGGAAAATAGGATTTGCTCCCTGCGGTTTTGAATTATACAAGCTTAAAGTTTTTTCACTTTGTACCCAAGACGAAATTATTCTGGATTCAAATTAAAGTTGGTCTTTGTGTTATGAATACCATTAGCTGAGAAAGTAATTTGACACACTGTTGATAAAATAAGTAAAACGTTTTTCCCAAGAGGGTAGACAATTTTTACCCTGCAAAGAACTATTTATGTATCATAAGAAAAATATAAATGTCTAAATCGGACTAGAAAGCAAGCAGCAGTAACCGGATATAAAACAATATAGCATTTAGACATGCAAGTGTCAAGCTGGGGTAACCACCAACTTTTAATTATTACAAGCAATTGAAAGTCACGCCAACAAATTAGCAGTGGGGAAATTACCTAATCATTTTGAATAGTTAAACATTGTAGAAGATGACTTAATAAATATCTGCCAGTTTCTATATGCATCAATAGACTTTTTTGATGATTGGTATATTTTTTGATCGTTTCGTGATTGACTTATCCATATCATTTGCTCATTTGCAAGCAGTTCCAGGTTTGACTCCAGGCGATTATCTGCCAAGAGTATACATTTTGCCAGTGGCGGCTCTTGAGCTAATTTTTACGTTTTGCTATTTGGACGAATGAGGCTAGTTTCAATAGGCGTGGCATATTCAACGGTAGGAATAACTATGTTGGTGGAAGAAGTTCCACACACTCTACCTGCTCAAAACATCTTCAGATTTTTTTGCCCTGTTGCGGAAAGTGTTTAGTTAATTAAACGCCTCCAAAGGCAAAATAACTCAACGTGATTGCAATCGTTTCACGGCATTTCAAGTCTTTCACATGGTCTATCATATTTTCAGTCGAGTGCTTAGCAAGATGGAGTGTTTTAATTCAGTTATTCAAAGACGATTGAGCGAGCGTATTTAAGTTCAAAAACAACATTTTGAATTATTCCTATTAATGTTAATGCGTGCAAGCAAATTAAAAGTAAATTCATTACTTCTTTATAAATTTTTGTCTTCTCTTTTTGCTTTCAATATCGAAAGCAAGTCTGCCTTATTTGTCAGTATCGGCTTGTTTCACATAGATGTAAGACGCCAACTAACAATTGATTCTAAAATTTTCAATTCTTTTAAAAATTATTATATTCTTTTCCGTCCTGGGTTTCAGTCAAAGTGTGAAATAAAAATGTGTATATCGTTTCTTTCATAACGTTTCGGCGAGACAACAGCGCCATGATCAGATTTAAAGAAATTTAAGGTTTCAAGACAGTAAAGACCTAAATAAATGTAATGTTTACCAATTATGAGTTTGTATCAATTTTAAATCTGATGATGGCGCTGTTGTCTCGCCGAAACGTTATGAAATAAGCGATAAACAAATTTTTATTTCACACTTTGACTGAAACCATCAAGGGAAAGATTATAATAACAATTACGCGCAGTCAGGAAAATAAATATTTTAAAAATATGTGTCAGCCTAGCACATCAGTTAAAGAGAAATGCATATTTGCATTTATTAGGTTGTAAAGTAACTGTCTGCCCCACTGGAGAGATTTATTTACACGACGATGAGGATGCAGAAGAAACCCAGGAAGACCAAAGGACGATATCCAGAAAGCAGAGGGAGTGAAATGGATGAGTAGAACAGCTTACAGAAATGGATGAAGACAACTTGGAGAGGATTTTGTCCCGAGATGGACCAAGGCACGATGAAAATGATGATGATGATGAAGCTGACTTTGAAAGATACTTGAAATATATTGTATTTTTATCTGATCCAATTAGAATTTCTTCTTTGTTATTGGGACACTTTCAATTTGGAAAGTTGTTGTCGAAGAAGCTTTGCGGAAATTATGTGATTCCGGATATGGTTGACCTCTATCGAATTTATGTCGCAATGTCACTTCTCAAGGTCGTAATTCAAGTATAATTGTTTTCCCACTAACTCTTATTTAGCGAGCAACCGAAATGTTAATTACTAAACTAAAATTTCCCTGTCCGATATCGAAGTAAATTTTATTGTATTTTCTGACAATGGCGACGATGGCATTATTTAACCAGCATTATTGGAAACATATTTTATACGTTTGATAAATTTGATGAGGAAGGCCAACGACAAAAATAGGTCCATATTTGAATAACATTGGGCACGTCATGCAGCCATTTGTTATATTTCGTGATCTAAGCATAATGCACGAATCGTATTGTTGACTATTCTTAATAGGATATTAGTTAAACTATTCGGTATATTGACATTTTTCCAACTTAACCGCAGCAATGCTCAATTTAATAGATACTACTTATTAAACATTTTAAAGTGTTATTTATTACTAGCTAATTTATTATGTGCATTATTGGAGTAAATATGCATAATGTAAATAATATTAATGTTAGTACGTTATTACTATTCGCCGCCTACAAAATGCAGTGTGCCCCGTCAGCACATGATCAAAAGGGTCCTGCCATATTCTTTATAAAAATAAGACGATCTGACCTAACTTTTATTAACAAAAAATGTTTGGCTCCTCTGCCATTGATCGTCAAAGTTCTTCAAAAAATGTATCTTTTTTGAAATATCTGGAGAATGGTACGATGTATTTTTGTGAAACTCGCTGTGCATTTGTTCGTATGTAAGACCCATATTTTGATGAAACTATCGAGTTTAACCGTTTTTGACTAGTGGTGAATTCTTGAGTGTCGTGGTAAAAAACCACCAGAACTTTTTACTTGGTGGATGGAATATCGCAAAATTTCAAGTTTGTTACTTAGATACTTTGAGAATATTTACATACTTTTAGCTTCCTGTATCTGGGCAACAACACATTTTTTGAACCGATTTGTGAACGAAATTTTGTCTAAATTTTGCATTTCTGAAATACCTTATATTGTTCTAGCATTCTAGCATCACGGTGATCAACAAACCACAAAACCATTTTTTGGTTTGTTTTGGTTTAGAACCACTAAACTGGTTCTCCATAACAAGTGACCTAACAGAAATTGAAACCGTAAAGAACTATTGTTTCTCGAAGAGGTTTTTGTAGCAAACCACATCTACCCACAAGAATTAACTATTAATAAAATTCAATTTTCTAGTATTTTTCGTTGTTTCAAATGTTCTTATTTATATTATATTTGAAATAGCAAACACACTTTCTTACATTTAGAGGAATAAACGGAATTTATCAGGGTTAAATGGACTGCATGATTTCTGAATATAAATTAAGTCTAGTCATGTACTGCTAATGTAAATGAACTGGATCACTGAGTGCTAAATAAACCAATTAGCCACATTAATAAAGGGATTCGTTGCTTTTTCACGTAATTTCACTTTCAATTTTCTTGTTTTTTGTTACTTTCTACTTTATTTAATGATTTGTAACTCTATGAACAAGTGTCCACAGATCAAGTAGAGCCGAGCCAAAACTGACTTTTAGTCAAGTCTTTTTAGGTAGTATTCTACCAAAAAAGGCTCCATTACCGATCTGTGAAGACAAATTTGTCTCCTCCAGTGATGGGCAAACAGACCCCAAACATAAATACAATTATAAATATTGAGTATCAGCAGTCCCATCACAAATGGTTCGATTCTTTCCAAAGTTTTCTTTTGGGTAGTTTCGTTGCCTTGTTACGACTAAAGGTTACTAAGTAATAGTAACTAAATATTCCGAGTATATTTTAAAATCTCATAATTGTCGAAATTTTAATTTGACTGGAAATCTTACTCAATGCAATACGATGTTGCTGCAGACCTTTGTATACATTTGGAACAAATTACTGCCGATTTAAAACGGGCTTGTAATGCTCTGGATAGAAAGATAGCACGAAAAGTCTTATATTGGAGTCAAGAATTATAAAAAGGCTAATGAATGAAAACTAAAATGCTGATAATTATTGTAATATTTCTGTCAGATTAAACATTAGTCGCTAAAGAAAATGATTTGAATGATTATTGATTGTAGAACAAATTCAATAAGTAGTCATATTAAAAAATAAATTCGTTGTTCTAGATTTTATTTTCAAATCCATTTAGTTTATTATAGTACATTAGTATTTCGTCAGTTTTTTAATAACGCTTCGAATGTCTTTGAACGTTTTTCCTTCCGTTAACCATAATTAGGTACGATGATCTGAATGCAGTCCTTTCGTTAGAAAAGTCACTAATGCTTTACATAATTACAAGATTTTCACTGAAAATACACTTCATTAAGACCCACTCTTCTAAAATTTAGTTTCGAAGCAGAAACTCTAAATTATTTCCATTTTACGGACAGAGAGCGGTTTTAATTTTATTTTCTTTCCACAGGGAAATTCCAAATTGAATCCGTTATGAATGTTTGTTTTTCTGAAAGCTGTTTAAATTTTCTATTCAAGTACGAGATGCCGATTTATTTAATACGTTGAATTAAAAATAGCCCAAACTTTTTAATCTCAGTAATAATATTAATCCCCTTTAGCGACGGGTTTGTTTTAACGAGTTTTAACTGTTTAAATAAATGACCCTGCTAGTTACTTTAAATTCCTTACAAATTAATCCACATGTGGTTTTTCCTTTGTTTCAGGAACCTACTTTTTGCTCTACGACTTCATCGATTTCTTTGAAAAGGACGGGCCTAGTTTTTTACAAAGGGAGAAATATCACGATATTATTGATACGGTGTTCAAGAACTTCAGCAAGCTGGAAAGAGATGCTATTGTTTTTCAGGTAAATAACGCCTGGCAAGTTTAATAAGTTGCTAGCCAATTAAGTTGTGAGCTTTGAAATGTAGCGACTATTTCCCCATGTTATGCAGATGCAGCACGAGCTTCGTGTAATTTTAAATTAAAATATACACATTTTTACACAGACATTTACTTAGGCTTGCATCTTAAATGTTAAACAGCATCAATTCTTGCAAATTTGGGCTTCACCAGGTATGTAGGTATGTTTATAAAAGTTTTTGCTTCTGATAAATATAAAGCTATATTATAACAAGTCTGATGTTGTGTGTCTGGTTATGGTGAATATTACTAACTATGACTTGAAATATCATGACAATACCTCTAATGGGTTTTGATTGAAAATAGGTAAAATCGGATTCTTTTTTTAAGTAGTCGTGGATTATTTTGTGTACAGCACAACAACATATTTTGCATAACCAACCAGCAATAGAGAATAATAAGTTTCAAAAATTTAATTTTAGAACCGTTTTCCAAATGCATCTTCTTCTTCTCCTCTTCAGCCACTTGTTGCCCACTGTAGGACAGAAGGCTCTTTCAATCTCTTTTATGCATTGCTGTATTGAGCTGTTTGCTGCCAAAGGGTGCCCGCTGTTCTCTTCACATCATCTAGCCATCTTTTTGGAGGTCCACCTATGCTGCTCCTTGTTTCTCTGGGTCTCCGTTGAATTAACTTTTTTGCCCATCAAGCCATTGCCATTTAAGGTGTGCGAGACGCGCCATGATATCGGTGACTTTGGTTCTTTATCTGATCTTCTCATTTCACACTCTATCCCCCAGACTCATCCCGAACATTATTCGCTCTATTGCTCGTTGCGTCATTCTAAGTCTGTTTATGCTTCTTTCTGTAGATGTGGCGGTTTTTAGGCCATAAGTTGAGACCGGCAGTGTGCAAGCTTCGGATACCTTACGTTTCAGGCTTATGAGCATATTGGAATCTTTAAATATAAATTGGAGATTTCCAAAAGCCGACAACGTCAAAGATACTATTCTGCATTATACAATCTCCGCCGCTTGATTTTCCTTTCCAAGCTTTACTGCGTCTCCAAGGTATATCTAGTTATTTGCGTCTACGTTTTCTATTACTCGGTATAGAATTTCCAAATGTTCTCCCATTGGACTCATTATTTTAGTTTTGCTGATATTCATCTCACGTCTCACTGTTGATGGCATGTGTTTTAAATCTTCTAGCTTTGTTCTAAGTTCATTTATGTCGCAGCTAATAAGCACAATGTCTTCAGCAAAGCGTAAATGATTCAGATATGAACCGTTTATATTAATTCCTTTATTTTCCCACTGTATTTTCTTAAATATGTTTTCTAGGGCCAGTGCAAACAATTTTGAGGATATTATGTCTCTTTGGCGTACACCTGGATCTACCGACATTTTATTCCTCTTATTATCCTGATCTATTTGCACACAGAAGGTGGCATTTTCGTATATGTTCTTAGTAAGCTGCGAGTACCTGAAATCTATTCTTGCATCATCCATTGATGAGATGAAGGCCCATGTTTCTATAGAGTCGAAGGCTCTTCAATAGTCTGCAACGGATAGGTGAAGTTGAATGTTATATTCATTTGATTTTTCAATAAGCAACGTTAGTGTTTGGCGGTGATCCAAAGTACTGTAACCTTTTCTACAGCAAGCTTGCTCTACTGGTTGGTATTGGTGAAGCTGTCATGTTAGTCTGTTTGTTACGATTCTCATTGTTTGTTTGATGATCTTCACGAAACAGGGAACAATTTCAAAATAATGCTTAATAACAACAAATTTTCAATATTTTTCTCGTACTCCCCAAGGGAGCCTCTATCACCCATTAAAAGGAATAACGCCAATTTTGAATCACTCTGTAGTGGAAATTTAATACTTTTCTTCGAACTAAAACTTTAAACGTAAAATTATAAAGGATTCACTATGCTATGCTAAGATGCCACTCACTTCTAAAAAAAAATCAGAAACTTCAAAATATTTAAAAACTTATGTGAGAATATGTTAAAATTAAAGTTTCCATTTCGGCTCTACTTACCAACAACAGAGCCCAAAAAGCCGCAAAGCATTACAACATTATTACTTATATCATCCTAATATATTAAGAGAACATGCTATTTTCCTGAAAGTCAGCGAGTGAGAGTAATCGCATTATTTTCGTGAAAGTAAAAATGAACCTCGTGTTTGTTTTTATTAAACTGTGGAGGCAGAATATAATTTTTTCCGTCAAAAATAATATATTTTGTGCTTTTGCTTGCCTGCGCAGCAAGGTAAGCTATGGTCTGTACGCTATAACTTTAGTTTGGTAGCATGTCATCAGAGTCGAAGTGTGACTGCCAACATAAAAAAATTATACATAAAATTTGTGTGATAAGTCGAATCTGTTTTGTTGTGTTTTGAGCATTGGATACCCTGAAGCCATCATAAAATGCGAAATAACTTTAGAACCCTACCCAATTTAAAGCGATATCGATTAATTTTGATGTCGATCTTTAAAATTATTAGGTTGGTGAAAATTACAATGCTGCCGAATCGATTGTAGATTTATTTGAATTTTCTTAAAGAGACATGACGTTTGCTTGCTGCATTTGTCATGTACTTGTCGATGAGTTTTGCCTTGACGGTATATAGGGTGATTCCAAATGGGATGTGTCGTCTGGAGGCGTATTGGGAGTACAGGAAAACTAGTAAAAAAAGTTAACTATTATTAAAAACTGAGATATTTGCAAAAAATTATATCAGAAGGATGGCAACAATGTTTTTCAAGGGAATCTGCCTAATTGACAGTACGTACAATACCTGTTCCTTCGTAGTTCGTAAAAACTCCGGCAACCATAGGTAAACACAAAGCAAAGAAAATAAAAGAGACGATAACATACGTCGAGGTTACGATAATGGTCTCCTTGTCGCCTTGTCGCCTTGCGGTCAGTGCAGCTACAGAACATCCCCCGAGATCTGCCATTTTTGTGGGGCAAATGAGTGATATACCTAAATCCCTCGTGGCTGTCATCCAAAACCACCTGTTACAGGTTATGTATCATTGTTATCTGTTATCAGGTTATGTTCCATATGATCAATATTATTGGTCAAATAATATACAGGGTGATTCAAAATTGGCGTCATTCCTATAAGGGGTGATGGTACTCCCCAAGTGAGCCTCACTTGGGGAGTACGAGAAAAATATAAAAAAAAAATTTTTTCGAAAATTTCTAGAAGATATTAACAGTTGAAGATCGAATTTCAACTTTGTTATTAAGCATTATTTTGAAATGGTTCCGTGTTTAATTGGTAGCATATTGGAACACTTAAGCATTCAAAAAAAAAATACGATCTTTGATTCAAATTACGAAAATTTTGGATATCAAAAAAGTTCTCTTCTACAATTTTTTGATGAAAAAGCACAGCGGCAATGATGTTTTTTGTCATTAACAGATAGTTACAGGTAGATCTTGTCAATCTTAACAATAATTTGTCAAACTGTGACTTACTTTGA